CCAAAAACCTGAGGATTATGAGAAATAAAAATACAGTTTTGTATATATATAGGCGTATGGTGAAGTTGTAAGATATCCAAATTCCGAAGACTGAACTTGAGTATCAGGGTCTTTTTTGGCTGGATAAGGGAAATGTAAAAATTCTTAAAAATTAAAAACTTTTGGGGCCATGTTGTACACGAGGTTCCTTTTCTCTTTGGGATAAGAACAAAGGAAGATCCATCATCTTTGACAGGGGATGGCTTGCAGCCAATTGGGATAAAGGGAAAGCCCCTTTTCAGAGAAAAGAAACCTTTTTAGGCAAAAATGAATATATTACAATTATCTGAAAAGGGTGGGGATTTTGTGAAACTTTAAAATGTATGGAATTTAAACCAAAGGGGTCTTTCCCCCAGAAACTCAGTGCAAGAAAGACCCAACGCGTTGAATAAATTCTTCCTTGTTTCTTTGTCCCCTGAGTTTATGCTGTCTTTCTAAATTTAAAAAGAGGGATATTTCCCACACAGGTACGGAAGCTAAAGGAAAAAATGACTACTAGGGGAAATTCATCAAGGATGGATGTAGCTTCAGTCTCCCATGGGCAAGCTCCTAGACAGAACAGAAGGGATGATGACATGTCCGATCCTCTGGAAGGGATGTCCAGGATGTATGCACAGGGAGAAAGCCACGACTACCAAAACCAACACTAGAGGAGCCCTACCTCTAGCCAGGTAGAGGCATGGGACAACTGTGTCTACTGGACTGTGTGGATCCAATGGCCTGGCACATCAGACTCACAAAAATATAAGGCCTTGGTTAACACTGGCACACAATGCACTCTGATGCTGTTGGGACATGTGGGGGCAGAATCTATTTCCATTTCTGGGGTGACAGGAGAGCACCAACAGTTGACTGTATTAGAAGCTGAAGTAAGCCTGACTGGGAAGGAGTGGCAGAAACACCCCATTGTGACTGGTCCAGAGGCCCTATGTATCCTTGGTATTGATTACCTCAAGAACGGGTATTTTAAAGACACAAAAGGGCACTGGTGGGCCTTTGGGATAGCTGCTGTACAGATAGAAGGGATTAAACAGTTGAATGCATTGCCTGGTCTCTCAGAGGACCCTTCTGCTGTGGGACTGCTAAGGGTTGAAGAACAACAGGTGCCAATTGCCACCACAACAGTGCGTTATTGGCAATACTGCACAAGCGGAGACGCTGTGATCCCCATCCATAAGATGATCCATGAGCTGGAGACCCAAGGAGTAGTGAGCAAGACTCACTCACCCTTCAACAGCCCCATTTGGCCCATACGTAAGCCCAATGGAGAATGGAGATTGACAGTGGACTATCGTGGCTTGAATGAACTTACCCCATCCCTGAGTGCTGCTGTGCCAGACATGCTGGAGCTTCAGTATGAACTGGAGTTCAAGGCAGGGAAGTGGTGCCACCACTGACATTGCTAATGCATTTTTTTCCATTCCTTTGACAGCAGAGTGTAGGTTACAGTTTGCTTTCACCTGGAGGGGCATGCAGTACACCTGGAACAGATTCCCCCAGGTGGAAACACAGCCCCACCATCTGTCACGGACTGATCCAGGCTGCACCAGAGGAGGGTGAGGCTACAGAACACTTGCAATACATTGATGACATCATCGTATGGGGGAACACGGCAGAAGTCTTTGAGAAAGGAGAGATGATCATCCAGATTCTCCTGAAAGCTGGCTTTTCCATCAAATGGAGTAAGGTCAAGGAACCCTCCCAGGAAATACAGTTCCTTACAGTGAAGTGGCAGGATGGATGCCGTCAGATCCCAACAGAAGTATAATAAATAATGGCCCATCTTCGCGAACGAAGATTTGGGGAAAGGTCTTTTTACCTTTCCAGCCTGCGCAATGGATTTTTTAGGTGAGACACAGCCTGCGCTGAACTGAGCCCACCCTTTAATCCTAAGGTTCATCTGCCGGGGCCAAGCAAGCTTGGACAATGGCAGTGAGGTCCTCAGGATGTAGGTTTGTTTAGAGTGTCCTTCTCATAGATGGATGGCCACACAGGGCTAACGACCTCCAACAGGCCAGGAGACCGGGGAATCGAACCCGTGGTTGCAGCAGTGAAAGTCCTGCACGCTAACCACTAGGCCACCAGGGGTCTCCCCAACAGAAGTGATTAACAAGAAAACAGCAATGTCTCCACTGAGCAGCAGGAAGGAAACATAGCCTTTCCTAGGCACTGTAGGCTTCTGGACAATGCATATCCCAGAATACAGATAGATTGTAAGCCCTCTTTACTTCGTAACAAGTAAGAAGAATGATTTCTGGTGGGGCCCTGAGCATTAACAAGACCTTGAACAGATCAAACAGGAGATTTCTCATGCAGTAGACCTTGGGCAAGTCAGAACAGGACAGGAGGTGAAGAATGTCCTCTACTCTGCAGCTGGGGAGAATGGTCCTTCCTGGAGCCTCTGGCAGAAAGTGCCTGGGGAGACTCGAGGCTGACCACTTGGATTCTGGAGCCGAAGCTACAGAGGGTCTGAGGCCAACTGATGCCAATTTTATGCCCCAAAAGGCACAGACGGAGAAACTGCTAAGAGACAAAGTTTGTAGCCTTTAAGCAGGATGTGTATTTTATTTACA